TTGGTTGGGGGTGGATGGGGAGGGTCGTCCCACGGAGACGGTGGAAGGGCTGGGAAACAAACGTCTCTGTCTGTGAGCCTCTCCCTCTCTCTACTCACCAGCATCTTCTCATCTCAGAGAAGAGAGAAAGATCAGCTCGAGGAAAAGCTGGTTGTCGTCTGTCTGCGGTGATGTGTTGGAGGGCAGAAAGGATGCAGTGTAGGTGTGTACGCCTATTCGCTTGAATATGCTAAATTTACCAATCTGAAGCTTTTCATCTGGAGGTTGTTTTTATTCTTTTTTTGTGGTCGTGGATTTTTCTATTTGTTCATCGTAGTTGTCGTCCTTGCTCTTGGATAACAGTAACACTGTGTTCACCACCATCATTTCTGATCTGAACTGGGAACTCTGTGACACAATTACGAAACAAACAGTCTGACAGATATCTTTGGGTTTTCATTTTAATATGTATAATTTTTCTTTAAATAAAGCAATCAAGGTCGATGCCAAAAAAAATTTGTTAATTGAACAATGAATGATGTTAACACACAGCAAACAACATAAACCCGAAGCTGCTGTTGCTGTTGAATCGTATTAATACCTCTGCCAACAGGTAATGTGATCGGTTGAGTTGGTCTGTTTTCACGCAAAGTTATTGCAATTGTGTATTTGTTTGAATATTTTACTTCTGGAGCTGATCTGGATCCTTTAAAGGATTCTTTACTGTTGTGATACAGATTGATTTTTTTTTTTTGTTGTTCTGTTTTGTTTGGTGTTGTCAAGAAAATATCACAATCTGGTCTCTGTTCTAAGTTCTTACTCGGGAACGGGTTTTAGCCTTAGCTGAGGTTTGCAGCATCACACTGCTCTTGTTTCATAAGTTATCAAGGTATATAAATACTGTAAGACTGTAATATAACATGGCAGTGCAGAGAGAAACACTCTGATGTAAGAAACAGCATCATGAGTTTGGACTGGGTGCTTCATTTGTTTTCACCCATGTTAGCAGCATAGCTGTATGAGCTGAAAGGTCAGTAGGGCTGGGAGTCAGTCCACTGCTTTGATCCAGACCCCCAAAATATATGCGATCAACTACAGGACGGATTGATGATGATTATGTGCCGAAATGTATGTATTCTGTCTGTTTTTCTATAGCATTATCATCAAGCCAATAATTTAGGGTGGCAGGTTCACAAACAATAACCTACAGTAGAAAATTAGCCATATTCCCGTTAGCCTCATCTGTGCTTAGCAAATGTTAACAAATTAGCATGCATACAGCGCAAACTTAAAAAGCAGGTGTTCTCCTTTCTCAAACCCGCATAAGTTGCAGCAAGTTTCCATAAAGCCTTCATATTTAATATTATGAATGGATCTGCGTGTATGAGAGGTTCTTTGAGGCCCACTGCTTAGAGCATCAGGCCAACATAACTCTAAAAACCGATTCATAAGATGCTCTCAAATCCAAACTTCAACCTCCTTCCAGTTATTTATGCATCCATTTTGCTCCATCACCCCTACTCTGGTCTGTACTCTACGATATTTCTGACTCTTTTTGGGAGGCATGCATTTTTCTGAGCTCGTCACCAGCAACGGCACACAACGCCATTTATTTTGGCTTGGGAGTTCTCTTTTCACTCCGTGTCTTTTTATAGTTTTGTCGTTCATACTGTACTCCCCGCTGTGCTTCTATTTTCATGAATGCTGTGAGAAATAATTGAAAGCACCGTGTATGGTGCCGTCTGTTGCAGCGCTCCCACTTCCTCATGCCTTGTAAATACTGTATCACTAAAACCCCCGCTGTAAGCTGCCGGCTCGGGATTCCTCACAACTCTGAGACGTCAACACTCACTGAAAACTTGAGCCAAGATCAAATCGTAACCAGAGCCTGAACGTTGCTCCTGTGGACAGAGCCAGCGTTTGATTGATTTCAAATTCAGCTGTTTGTCCTTGCCTTTTTTCTTGCAAAAACAGAGTTGAATTGGATTCCTCTGAACAGCTCGTGGCCCATTTCCTCTGTGTGTTTTCTCAGCTTTTTGACTTCCATAAGGAGGGGGAAAGGATGTCAAAGGAGTCGCGACTCCTGCTGCAAGTGGTGGTAGTGAGAAGTGCAGCAGATGGAAGCCCACAAGGAGCCTTAACAAGAATAAATACCGTACCATAGCTGCTAAAAATAAAATATTGCTTATTAGAAATTAGAGTTTCTCTACTGGTTTTGCACATGAATAACTTTAAGAAGCTAAAAAAATATGGTTCATTACCAGGTTGGAAGATATCTGCATTATGGGAAATGCAGGAATCAGTGTATTTTCGCTTCCCTCACACAACAGAGCCATATTTTGTACATATTTTGTTTGTCTTTAACATGAAACATCTGTTTCATTAACCAGATGGGAAAAACTGGAGGAGACAGACCAGTTAAGTCAAGCCTGACATCTAGTCTGGCTTTCAAGGTAAGCTGCAACCCCCACCAGTCCTAAAACACAGGTTATTTTTATAGTTTGGGTTTTTTGTGCTTTTTCTGTTAGGGGGGGTGAAGACTGAGGAGTGGAATAGATGAAGGGAAAATGATTTGATTTAATGAATTCGAGGAATGTGAGTTTGCATGCTAGACACATGGCACTCTGCCCATTTGGCCACCAGAATGCTTTATTTTTTTTTTCGTAATAGATATGTGGTTGGTCTTTTTGTTTTTGTTTTTGTTTGTTTTTTAACAGCTGAAACAATTATTTAATTGAATTGGCAACTATTGTGATATTCAGTTAATTAATTAAAGAGATTTTTCCCTATTGAAATGTAACCCACTCAGGTACAGCGTTTTCGATTGTAGGAGAATTTTCATATTATAAAATTACCCAATAAGTGAACTGAAGAGCAAAATCAGACCCTATATTGCCTGTAGACTGCTATCTTATGACTATTTACGCTGTCCCACAGATACTTGACACACATGTTGCCCAGAAAACAAGACCTACTGTTGAGAGGGAGCCTCCTGAAACCGAGACCTTCGGGGACGACGCGGATGAGGAGCGCAGGTCCTTGCCCTCACAGAAGATCCAGGATGTCGGCACAATCAACGTTTTAGATCCAACAGATGACGGATCTGTGAGCAGAAAGGCATGAGAGGGGGCGGGGCAGAGGGAAGGGAATTAAAAACACAACCATGAACCATAGTTTCGTAAAGACTGTAATTTTCCACAGTGCAGAAAAGCCAGTTAATCATGAATCAAGTCAGCGTACTGTATTTTGACTTTGTGGCCTCGGTGTCAGCAAAAATTACTTATTGTAGGTCGGCTTTGAAACCCACTTTCTCGCCTACACAAACCCCAAAACCCTGTTTCTGAAAAACAAATAGCTTCAGCAGCGCTCGTCTCCGCCCCCCAACCCCCGATCCCACTCCTGGTTTGCCTTCGGAAGTAGCAAAGGTTAGTGAAAGATATGTTTGTCTTTTTCCACTTCAATGAAGGGTGAATTCAGCTCCGTGCAATAAGAAATGGATTACCCCGTTCATTAAAGGGGGCTGCGTCACTCCTCATTGAGTTGGACAAATAACAAATTAATTCCTAGCCGCCTAATTTCTCTCTGTTCTCCACTGAATTCCCAATAACGTCGAATTACTGATCACAGCCATGTGAGCTCTCTCAACTTTCTATCAATTCATTAAATTTTTTGCCACAGTGGAGATACTGCTGAGGAGGATCTCTCCCTTTTTTCTTTTTTCTTTTTTTCCCATGCATGCTTCCTTTAACACCACAAGCTGTATACAAACAGAAAGCAAGTGAAGTGTTAATATTAGGAGATTAAAAAGACCAGGAAGCGTTACAGAGAAAGTTACTTTCACCCCGGGCGGTAAACTTTTTTTTTTCTTTGCCAGTCTAGTGCAGGTCTGTTGGTGGAGGTGTTTTGTAAAGTAGCAGTAGTGTATTGACAGGGCAGTATTGATGTTTCAATTAGAGCAGCGTTACATAGTGCTCCAGCATGGTAACACGGTGCGTCTTCTGCCATCTGCTCTGCCTCCACGTCTGACGAACGAGGCACGTGGGGCTAATCGAGCCGCACATGAGCGATGGGGCTGCGAGATCTTCCGCGCACACACTCGCGCGCACGCACACACACTTATCCCGTACGCACGTCCTTATGCAGAAAAATAAGGGGGGAAGGACGATGGAGAGCTCCTCAGCCCTGCTGTTTAAACAGCCTTCAGAAAGCCTGTGATTCCTCGCTTCACATGTGCCACAGGAGAAGCCAGCAGGTTATTTCCCCGACAAGAAAACGGGCAAAAGCGCCAGATGCACAAGTTAAAAATCTTCCCAAAAAAAAGAAGCTCATCTGATAGAAAGAACAAAAAATAAATAAATAAAAGAGAGAGAGAGATCAGCTTCTGCCAGGTTTTCTCGTGCTGGGACAGCCTGAAATAACAGTGTGTATTATGCCTGGCATTATTGCCTGCCAAACCACACGAATCAAAGACCTCATTGTGTGGATTACCTCGTTAATCTGTTGATGCCATTGACTAGTATTGCAGGTGCTAATGTGCCAGGTTTTTTTTCCTCCTCTTTCCTCCTCTCTTCTCTTATTGGGGAGGTGTAGCGTTAGGTTTGTAATCTGCTTTAAATGCTTTCTGGGGAATGAGACGCACTGAAAGCCAGCCAAGAGAGCTCTGCTATCATGGAGCGCTTTCTCTTAATACAGCACACAGAGGGGGACAGACTGACTGAGGCTGCGGCGCCTGTGCCAACGGGGACGAGCTAGCGAGCTACACGCCCCACGCCACTTGTTGAAATATATGACTGCATGAATAATGAAAGAGGAAGAGGGAAGTGGTATTGCTAGAGCAGTCCCACAATGACATCCATCACAGGAATGCCTCATTGCTCCTCTTCTTCTGTTTCCTCCTGCAAAAAAAACTCCAACTTGTGTCTCTTTGGAGAAGCTAACTGGAGCTGAGCTCAGTTGCCTGCCCGAGCTGATAGACTTTAGAGGTGAAACCAGAAAGAGAGGAAGATAAAGAGGCAGAGAGAGAGAGAGAAAGACAGAGGGAAAGGGGACAGAAAGAGAGGTAATCCTTGCTTTTTTTTCCAGCTCCCCGGGGTGGTCTCTTCATCCAAGGCCTCAAAGAGGGACAGAATACACGTCCCTGCTACAATGAAGGGGACCCACAGGGGATGTTGCTATCAGTGTGTGTGTGTGGTGGGGGTGCAGCTTTAAGCAGGCCTTTGAGTGGCCTAATTGCATTGGAATACAGCAGTCTGAGAGCTGGCTCAGATCACGGCGGGCTGCTGGAGGGGTGAGCGCCCGCACCTCGACAGCCACACTCAGCAAAAGAGCCCCGGCACAAAGCACACAATTAATGCTGTCCCTCTCGTTAACTCTCTCCCCACTTTTTGTCCTCTCCTACTTTTCTCTCATTCTCCTCCTCCTCACCCCCATATCTTCGTCTCTCTCTCGCTCTCCTCTCCCTCTCTCGTTCCTCCCTCCCGCCTCAGTATGTCGTCACTCACCCACTGTATTAATCCTCCCATACAGCCTGTCAGTCTCCCTCGTCTTTGATGCACACAACAATTACAGTAAGGATGAAAGGCGTGGGTCGGCTCTCGTTATGCAAGATTCGAAACGGGCCTTGGCGAGAATTATTGACATCCGAACAGCTAATCTGAAATAAAACTCTGTTATTACTTCGAAGGAAGTGATCTGTGCTCGCTGCATATATTTCTGGCTGTATATACTCAGGATTAGGGGATCTTATTTTATTGCATAAATTAAAAATAAGGCATGTACTTTATTTGTATTTAAATGAGCCCACACTGATTGTATTCTTCTGATCTGAAGATTTTGTATCAGTTCTGCTATCAGCTAAAGTCAAGGCAGCTGATAAATGCAAAGTAAACAGATTTCCATTTCATCACGATTGTTCCCCAAAGATGACACCGCGGTAGAGCAATAATGCTCCAGCGGGGACTGTTTGTATCTTTGCTGCATTAAACACAAAGCTGTTACAATCTAAATGTGCTTCATTGGGTTTTATCTTTTACAAAGAAAGCCTGGATATCATACAGGAATCTAGAGGTGTATTATATTAGAGATAACCGTGATATTTAAAAAAATGATATATAAATATTGTGCTAGTAATTCATAGGCGGTAATGCTGCAAATAATTGTTTTTTTATTGTGTGTGCTTTAGTACAGTTATGTAAACATTTGTCCACTGGTATTTTGAGTTTGTTTCATTTAAACTATGAAAAGTCATAGATTATTTTCAATGATAACATCATTTACATTACTTTAAAAATGTATTTTCTACAGATGTTACAGTATTGTTTCTATATTTTATTATAAATCATCAAACTAAATTCTAGTATTTTCTGATATTGATTAGACTTTTAAATACAAGGTAAAAAAAAAAAAAAAACTAATCAGATTTTCAAATATGAATATCTAGTGACTGTTTACGGCTTCTAAGGTAACCATATGAATCTTTTTGGATTTTGGACTGTCGGCTGGACAAAAATAAATGTTTATGACGGGAATTAAATTAATTTAATTCAACAAGTTGTTCCACACATAAGGTTCAGCAGCTTCACTGAAGGTCATTCCATTTTAGACTGAAAATTCACTGGAAAAAAACTAAACAAATCAAGTTAACCTACTGGACACAAGATAACGCATCTGCATCACCAAGAAGCCTGTTTTCAGTGAATGGAGGCTTTCAAATCTCCACATCACACTAAAACTGCATACTGAGTTGTGATTGGCTTTCAAAATTATGATGTCATGAATTGTTTTTTTGTACTGTGCATGCATATGCAAGGCAGGTTTAAGGTGAGCACAGCCAAACCTAACCATACCTGTCAGCACATGGGTGTGAAAACCTTCCTACTGCGCGCACACACACAAACACACACACTGTGTTCTGGGCTGTTTGTGTTCTGGAAACTGATAAGTAGGTTTCATTAGTTAAGACTGTGAAAATAATCATGATTACAAATTTCTTTCTGAAAGGTCTGACACGTTAAGGTGCTGTATCTTCTCTCTGCAGTGGGCGGTGGACATACTTTTCATTACACGGGTTAATATAATCGTTCTTTGGCGTTCGCAGACAGCGAAGAGTGATTGGGCCTCGCCTTCCTCTCTCCCTCAGTTTGGACCCCAATGTCCTCGTCTTTAAATAGGACTCAGCGGACTGAGATCGTGGAACAATCAGTGATTTAAAAAACATATCATACTCAACCAGCCCCTCCTTTGATTTTCTTCATTACACGAGCCGTGTCTTAATAAAATCAAATTATTTCCGCTCACAGGACGCTTTCTGGTGAGAAATTGGCAGAGGGATGTGAGCTGATGTATGGGGAGACAGTCGCCTAATTAGAGCGTTAGAAATTGAATCTTTACAGCACACGGGTCATATAATTATCCTACTGTTAATTTAACGCTTACATTCTCTACTGTTCATTTTTATTCCCTTAAATGCAGTTTGGCAGCGACCCTCACTGCGTCTCGGTGCATGAGAGGAAAGGCAGCGTGGCCCCTAACGCTGGCCCCTCTGTGTGATTGAATAACTACGGACCCTGCAGTCCAAATAACAAGGCTCGCATCATTTATGCATTGTTAAGCCACGTAATTGAAACGAGCCATAGTTTGCATATTACGCCATTAAAATAATGTGCTTTGCGTTTCTCCCAACACGACTATTTAAGCCTGTGTGGCGATGTGGTAATTCCTTGAATTACAGCCTAATTACCACAATGTTCTTTTGATTTGGCCGATTTCAATGTTACACCACAATAATGTTCAATATTACCAGAATGAATTACTGAGCCGTGCCTGGAAACTTTTTCCTGGTATGACTTAAATCCTGGCCTCTTCATGTGCTGTCGGTGCAGCTGGATTCACTCCTATGAAAGATTATTAGCCTCTGAAATGAGATCCATTAAAGGCCCAATCAGTAATACTTAATTGAAGAGCCCGAGTGATACATGGAATACGAGGATTTTGCGTGTGTTTTTGCTCTTCATCATCACTACTCGCTTAATGCTTCTGCGTATTACTGATGTAAACAGGCCATCAGAAAGCATTACAGCAGTTGTCCACTGTTTATCTCCGCAATTAAAGACAAGTCTGTTAATTTGGGCTGATGGCAGTTTTCTTTCTTTTTGAAAGTTTGCTGACAAAACATGTATTTACTTTACAGCTAACAGCCTTAAATGCATTCTAAGTTGGTTACGTTACTTGTCTTTTGTTCATATTTTGTGGCATAAAAGATCAGAAATGAGAATTTTGGCCACTTAAGCGACATCAAAGCGCAAAGAAAAAGTTGTAGTACAACTTAAATCAGCATATGAATTGAAACTGCAATCCAGGTCATAGAGAAGCGACATTTTGCAATTAGCACTTGCTCTTTGTTGGATGGCCCTGCATTGTTCCCAGACCTTTGTCTATATACACGACATGTGTCCCTGTGTGAACTTTTTGAATAAATTAACATCACTAATAATGATTTGTGAGCGTGAATATTCACCATTTGTGTTTTCGTTGCACGGCTTTAATTTTTTTTTTTTTTTTTTTGGGAGGGGGGGTGAAAAGTATTTCTTTGATAATTGCTTTTTTATTGCCTCTTAATTTTACTGCAGGTCCAAAGTTATTAAATAAAATGTTTAATTACAGTTTGAGTCATTTGCATACTTTGAAAGTTATAAATTGTGGATATTGAAGAACTGCCTGCATTGATTTATAGGTTTAATTTGTGGCCAGTATGTATGACTTTATTTCTGGTGGACTGAATTGTTGTAGGCCATAGACTAACCAAAGGTACTGTTAATTGCACACATGCAGCAGGAATCATTAATGTCTTCTAACATGCAGAATTACTGCCTCAGAAGTTAGAAAGTTAAACATGTGCCTCTGCCAGTGAAAAATGTCCAAGATGTGTTTGTCATTTTTTTCACAGTTTGCTTTCTCTCAGCGGAGTGTGAGGAGCAGCTTTGAGGACAGACATAATCTCTCTCATCTTTTTTTTTTTTTTTTTTTTGCTTTTTCTAGCCCTTTCTCCCTCTCAGGGCCCTGTGCTCTTTACTCCTCCCTCCTTTATCCCTGCAAAAGCTTTGTCCCCGCAGTAGAGAGCCTCTCTAAATAGAGGCCTTTAGATAGTCCGGGAACAGGGGTGGGGGAGAGCTGCAGCGATGCAACTGCTGTTGTTTCATTTACCTCTCCCTATGGCAACCAGCAGCAGTTGGCCAGGAATGTCCCCTCTCTGGACAAAGTCCTGGTCCCCGAAGCTGACACTGGAGGGTTGGGGGGTGGGGTGGGGGACAGCTGAGACAGGATGGAAACCTGCCCTCCCTGCTCTGGACTAGAGGCCTGAGTTTGGACTTAATCCTCCTCTTCACTTCTTTCTAGCTTCACTTTAGTGGATGACGAGCAGCCAGAGAAGGTGTTCACACAATATTAACTCTGTAATCGTTCTATATAAGACCTGAAAATAATTTTTAAATCTCTTTTAGTGAAGTGAATAAGCCTTCAGTACAGTTGCACCATGCTCTAATGGCCCCATATACAGGTTCTTTACAGTGTTGTAAACAGCCATTTAGTCCCTCATAATATCCTTTAAACTGCATTTAATAAGGGCACACTGGAGAGCGTTTTATCTCTTTTTTTTAATCACTAAACTTTGCAAGTCGTCCATGCTATATATGTATAGAGAGAGAAAGCCATAACTTCAACTGGGAGGGGGCTTCCTTCTTTTTATCAGCATGTAGCCTCTCCCACCAAGACAGACTTGTAAAACTCACTTTACAGCCTAGTTGGACACAAAAGTTGATCTGTTTACTTTATGGGCTGTTAAAAGTTTTAAAGTCAAGACAGCTGACCGACATCTACATTTACAAGCCTTCGGTGAATGGAAAAAATATACTACTTTACACTTTTACAGGAAAGCGTCAGTGTTTGAGGAAGTGCAGCTTGAATAGCCGATGCTTTTAAAGATCCCAGTCCCCATTACCAGCTGCAAAAATCACCTGAGACTGATGCCAGCTAATGGCACACACCTCAGTTTAAGCAGAGCGCAATGTTTTTACCTGAAGACTTTAAATACATTTCAGTCTGCATGGCAGCAAATGTTCAAAAGTTTGTTAACATTTTGTTACTGCCATTTTCTAAAAATAAAATCAAATTGTTTAAAACATGCCTGAGCTCCTTTCTCTATCAAATATTTCCCTTTAGAAGCTTCTTGTGTGACAGATTTGTTACATTTAGTTTCATTAAATATGTCATTATAAAAAGTCATTATAAAAAAAATGATTGGCTCATCTAAGATATATATTCATCCTCGAGAAGAGACAGCGCAATATGATGCATTTTTCCTGCTTACAGTACACAGACAACTCTGCACGAACAGCAGCAGACATATGAATATGCATGCATTACAACGACAAGCAGAAATGTTGCACTAAAACAAAGATGTCAGACGGAACTAAGCTTTACTGCAAATGTAGACTACACAAAACACCATCTAGTCCTTGTTTGCACTGAGGGGGGAAAAAGTTATGCGCAAATCAGAATGGTTCGCACTTTTTCCAGTATTTAATGCCATAAATGTGCATAAAAATCTGAAGTCCACCTAAATTAGGGATTGAATGGTTAAATACACGGCTACACAGAAGAGCTCCGGGTCTCCTGGAACTAGACTCCCTGCAGTCTCAGTCTGGATAGAACGAGATTATCAAAGTAAATGAACTGGATCTTACAGCTGCGCTGCTGATCCCGGTGCTCCGTCTCCCCATGCTGCACTCCGGCTCTCCGCTTCCACGGGAGCCTCGGCTCGCACCTCTCCAACAAAGACAGTAGTGTTTGTTGAGACTTCCACGCGGCCAATCGCCGCGCCGTTGCCCCTGGTAACCCCGTCCATCATCCTCCCGTACCCAATGAGCGGCGGGGGGCGGGGCGGAGTCCAGGTGCGCTTCGGCGTCCACTTGGCAGAGCGCCTGGGAGCCGCCTGTGGGCAGGAGAGGTTCTGTCAAATGCGAGGTTCCTTTAATAAGAGCGACCAGTCCGGCTCCGAGAGTCATGGCGACCGCAGCGTCTAACCACTACAACATTCTCACCTCCAGCGCATCCATCGTGCACTCGGAGCCCGGCAGCATGCAGCAAGCCACGGCGTACCGGGACGCGCAGAGCCTGTTGCAGAGCGACTACCCGCTGCAGAGCAACAGCCACACGCTCAGCCACGCACACCAGTGGATAACGGCGCTGTCCCACGGAGAGGGAGCCCCGTGGTCCTCGAGCCCGCTCGGCACGGAGCAGGACATTAAACCCGCGGTGCAGGGCGCCCGGGATGAGATGCACAATTCCAGCAGCAACCTGCAGCACCAGTCACGGCCGCCCCACCTGGTGCACCAGACGCACGGGAACCACCACGACGCCCGCGCGTGGAGAACCACCACGGCGGCGCACATACAGAGCATGGCGACGACAAACGGCCAAAGCCTTATTTACTCTCAGCCGGGCTTCACCGTCAACGGGCTCATCCCGGGCAGCGGGCAGGGGATGCACCACCACAACCTAAGAGACAGTCACGAAGACCACCACAGCCCGCACCTCAGCGAACACGGCCACCCTCCGTCCCAGCATCAGCACCAGCACCGGCCGCAGAGCCACCACGACCACTCGGACGAGGATACGCCGACCTCGGACGACTTGGAGCAGTTCGCCAAGCAGTTCAAACAGCGCAGGATCAAGCTGGGATTCACGCAGGCGGACGTGGGACTCGCCCTGGGGACCCTGTACGGAAATGTGTTTTCGCAAACCACCATATGCAGGTTTGAGGCCCTGCAGCTCAGCTTCAAAAACATGTGCAAGCTGAAGCCTCTATTGAACAAGTGGCTGGAGGAGGCGGACTCCACCTCGGGCAGCCCGACCAGCCTGGACAAAATCGCGGCGCAAGGGAGGAAAAGAAAAAAACGGACTTCAATCGAGGTAAGCGTAAAAGGAGCTTTGGAGAGCCATTTTTTGAAGTGCCCTAAACCGGCAGCGTCGGAAATAATCAGCCTGGCGGACAGTCTGCACCTGGAGAAAGAAGTGGTGAGGGTTTGGTTTTGTAACAGGAGACAGAAGGAAAAACGCATGACCCCTCCGGGAGGAGCGCTGCCGGGGAGCGAGGATGTGTACGGGGACACGCCGCCGCACCACGGGGTCCAGACCCCGGTCCAATGAACTCTGCCGGACCGGCTCCTCCAGGACTTGTTTACCGTTTTAATTTATCCCACCCCCCAAGGTTATATATAAATCACTGGACTATGAAACGATATAGTGGGTGTTTTATGTATAATAGATTGCAGTGATTACTGACACAATATCTGCAGTGAATATCTGAGAAATGGAAAACGAGTGACGGGAGGACAGGACATTTTTTGTCCTCCCCTCTCGCAGAGCTGAAGGAACATAAGCCCGTGTTATGTTCTCCGAGGATACATGCCCAGCACTGTGACTCCAGACGACGCAGTTTCAAGGTGTAGCCCCTATTGTGTACTGAAATTATACTTGACGAAAAAAAGGAGGGGAGGGGAAGAATGGTTTTAGAAGAAAAGCTTCCATTTTCCAGTTTTTTTTCTTCTTCTATTTTTTTCTTAAATATATCAAATCCAACCTTTTTGGGGCTGTGCGTAAAAGGGAAATCAACGATGTTTTTTATCTTTTCTTTTCGTTTCTTTTTCTTTTTTTTTAGTTTTGTAGCTCTAAATTGTGCGTCCAGCAGTGATGGGTGTGTGGGTAGTGCAGTGGGAGGTCAAAGGAGCTGCGTTAATGGAGTAAAGTGGAGGCCGGTATAGGCTTCAGCCCCAGTGCAGTGGAGTCCAGCTGAGGGTGAGCATCGCCTGAGTCCCATCTGTCAGCCAGACCGCTTTTATTTATTCTGTGTGGACTGAGGTCACCATTTAGTTAAGAACACATTATTATTATTATTATTATTATTATTATTATTATTATTATTATTATTATTATTAGTGCACGTGCAGCTCACTGGTTAAACTCTTCAGTATAAATGGCCTGAGCGCAGAGATGTGGTAAATAAAAAGTGTGTGACCTCTATCGTGAGTCAGCCAGCAGTCTAAACAACAAAGTCCGTGTTTTCCACACAACAAGCGTTAAATATTATTATTTCCCCCCTCAGAGCGTCTCCCAGCTCCAGGATTGGGGCTCCGTGGCGATTGATTGGATTATATGGCACCTTTTTCTTTTTTTCTCTTTTTTTTCTTCTCCCCACAACAGGATGGGCTCCAGACACACACACACAGATCTCGACACAAGCAACTCTCACAGAACAGTTTGGATCCGCTTTTGTAAATATTGTATAACTTTAAAAAGTCATCCCTCTTTTTTCTCGCTTTTTCTTCACTGGGGCACTTTTTCCCATTTTCTTTCATTTTTTTTGTCCCCCTCCCCCAAAAAACAAAAAAAAACAAAACAAAAAACAAAACAAAAATCACACACAAGCAGGTTGAGCTTCAGAGTCCTTAGCCTAAACCCACCGCCTTGCACTTGTGTACCTTTTTTTAATGGTTCGGACTTTTTTTCTTTTTCTTTCTTTCTCTTTTTTTTTGGTAACGCGTTAATTTTGACGTCTAAAAAATGTCTGCTATTTTTGTTTGTTTTTTTATTTTTTTTAATTCCTCTGAACTTTTATTTTGCATTATTATTATTATTATTATTATTATTATTATTATTATTATTATTATTATTATTTGCTTAAATCGCCAAGTAAGAGTTTGCTTTCGCCATTTTGCGCCCGCTCTGAAATAAAACAGTGCTTTAAGAGTGAATCCACATAAATATGGCAGAGAAATGTCCACAAATAAACGATCTAAGGGGAGGATTACAAAACAAAATTAATGTGCGAATAATTTGTCCTCAAAACATATTTTAGTGGCGTTCCAAAAATTGCAGCATATGATCAAAATTATTATTATTTTACAATAACCATGCAGCCTTTTTGTTCGTCTGTTTTGCCTTTTTTATATAACGGGGGAAATTGCGCGTAGACATTTTATTTAATGTTATTTTTTTTAGTTTTGTTAATGAGATTGTAATTTATTCTGGGTGGCTTTTACAGAAGAGACAAAGGGTGAGAAATATAAGAAATGAAGAGCCGAGAAGGCTTTTGTTTTGTAGGGGACGGGGTGACAGAAAGAGAGACCTATTTTTCTTTCTTTTTTCTTTTTTTTTTGTAATAGCGGGATTGCCACAGCCTGGACCGTCACAGCTAAATGTATATACATGTTTTTCTCCGTGCAGTAGCTCGCTTTTTTGTTTTATGCAAAGAGAGAAATCCAGGGACTTTTTCCCCTCTAATGTGGAAACTGCTTTTCTTTTCTCCTCCTCTTCCTTCTCTGTGTTTCTTCTGCAGAAAAAAAACAATAATATCATTAACAAGCAGAAACCATCATGGCATTGAAATCTTTCTTCCAGTAGCTTTAAAACCAATCGATCCAAGTCACAATTCACTGGAAATACAAGTTGTGGGATGTAGACCTGTAGCAATCCAACGCTGTTCTTCTTGCTGTTTTTGTTTAATTGCTTGTTTGTTTTGTTTTGTTTTTCTTTGGGGGGGGATAGGCTATGTCATATTCACTGGATGAACTTGGGGTAGATATGACGCAGAGGTGAGGAATGCCTGCAGGTGTTTCATCACTTGACACATGAACAACGGACTTGCACATTTTTAAATAACGGGGTTGATATTAAACAGCTTTTTTCCAACGTCGAGGCTAAATGTATTTATTTATTTTATACACACACACACACACACACGTATACATATATATATTTCCGTGAAACCCAGCAAATCAGGGAGCTGCTGCACTGAGTTGCCTGACAGCTGTGCTGTTAAAAAATATGCTTCTTGCTTTGAGCCCATTCGTTTGAGTGGAATTAATGGCCGAGAGAAAATCAGGGTTGATGAATGGAAGATTGTGAGCCGATGATGTGTTGTTTCTGCCCCGAGGCTGCTTTTAAATGAACTGGCTTTGGCTGGGAAAACCACAGCTTCCATCTAGGGTTAAATTAGGGCTTCCCAAAGTGGAGTCCGAGGACTAAAAAGTGGTCATTTTGGAGGGCTGAAACACGGTCCAATGCAGTAATCTTTTTCTTTTACTAATATGTGGACTTTTTCTTTTATCACGCAGGATTACACACAAAGATTGTGAGCAGATGTAGATGTGTCCACCATTTTTATTTAGTTTTTCCCCTTCTTTTGCTCCTCTTCTCCCCCCTTGAATGACGCCGCCTAGTATATTTCGTAAGATAATTAATTAATCTAAGAAGACAAAAATGTATGTTATGAAGTCAGCTTTAACCCTAAGCACAACTTTAGGCTGTCGTGATTAAATGAGGGTTAAAAGACTGGCAATTGAACGCTTCGCGACGATGCTTTCCTGATTTCAGATAAAACCTGAGCGCTTTAAATTTGTCCCGATGTGCTAACATAAAAAATACTAAGAAAAAAACTCTTCTTCTGTTTCTTCTCTTCTGGTGACCGTGAGTTTGACACTGGTGACCCTGATGGCATTTCCCCCTTTCCCTTGAGTGAGTTATTTCCCCACAGTAAGCATTGGTGTGATGTTTATGTGCACGTGTGTGAAAATCTAGCCTAGCTGATTATTATAACTATTTTTTCAAGCTTGGATCTGACAGCCAAATGCAAAGGTTCCTGCTTAAAATGTGCGTGATTGCGCGCGGGCCTTGTGCCTGTCAGAATAATATTAATTAGAATCGGATCTGTTTCTGTTCTGATGTCTGCAGCCTCACGAGCATGGATGAAGGGCTTCTTTTCTCTCTCAGAATTAAGAAGCAAACAGAGAGGTGGATTGGCAATCAGTAGCTAATAAGGTATTGATAGTGTTTATCAATAAAGCTGATCATAAAGAACTAAAAACCAATCGCGCGCTTTAAACAGAAAAAGAAAAAATATGCAGATATCCTCTGATTCAAGGTGGGTGTCATTTTAATCAACGCTAATGTGCTTAATTTAACCTATACGAGACGATGATGATGTAATACCAGCTTGCCAGAGAGCGCGTCTTCACGCGTTGTTTTGATGTGGGAAGAAACACCATCATCACCACCCCCACTCACCGTTTGACCTGCCATTTGGACGCCTGGTATGAAATGACCCCGGCATTTTAAGCCCCCTCTGCCACTCGCTGATCTCTGAAGTAAACTTTTGTGAAGCCCTGTAATAAAAATAAATAAATAACATTTTTAAAAAGGAAAAAAAGTGCGCCCCTGTGCCCTTCATCCGCTCTCTAGCAGATGCAATTAATAGCGCGTCGCGTTAATTACACCTTCCTTTTTATTTAGGTGACTTGAAATTTCCCATTAGGCTCACAGGCAAGGAGGGAAAGCTGCTGTGCTGATGCTGTGGCGCTGACTGAACTGAGCAGAGGAAGAGAAGCGGCAGGGTTGGGGGGGGGGGGCACATGGTCGATGCTCTAGCGCCATCTTGCGACACCAGCAGGAGCCTCGGGAGGAGGTCGGGTCAAGTTTTTCTTTCACGACAGAAACGTGGAATAGAAGGCTTCTCTGTTCTTTGGGGATATTATGTTGGGATACTGTTGGGGTATTTTTTTAAGTTCATATTCTTATGCCAATTAATGCAAGGTAAAAATAAATAAATAAAAAAGATTTCACTAAGCTGACAGATGAAAGTCAGGTTCATTGTTCATCCCTTTAACTGTCCGACCAGATGGAAGACATTACTTTTCATTCATAAAAACAAAACAAAAATGGGAAAAATTCAATGTGCAGAAAGGTTAAAAGTTGAAAAGATGTTACAGTTTATTAATTCCATAAAATCAGGCTTTAATGTTAGCGTCCCCCACGAAAGGAGGGAGTTTGAACAACAACAATGAATAATAACAAGACAATCTAATTAAAAGCGCAGTGGAGCAGTTTTCCACTGGTTATATCTTTGCCATTCATGGCTGGCCAGTCTCTGTGTGGGGTTGACCAAAGTGCAAGTGATTCTTCAAGCCTCCACCAAGCTCCACATTCCTGCCCAGATTCGTGCTCACTGTGGGCCCCCCGCGTTAAAACTACAAGCTGATTGTGAAAGACTCTTTTACACAAGTATGAGTCAGGTTGTCATGTCTCACCTCCATTAGATAAGCCTCGTCTGTATGTAAACTTACCTCGACAGCATTGGAGGGTTTTGTTCTCCTCTAGTGACAGAAGCAGCCAGTGTCTCCAGCGGTGGGTAATAAAGTAGGGGTGTAGAGTGTGAGATTTAAGGAGCATCGCTGACTCAGCACGCTCAGCCCTGCCACTAGATGAGCATGTGTAATTAGTGGTTTTACTAACTTGCTAACTGGGGGGCTGTTAGGTGTAAGTGTGATTCGACAAATGTGGATACTTATCAAAAAAGTGATACACGATCTCACTCAGATCACAGAAATCTAGCTCAACACTGTGTGTGTAACTACGCAATGTTTCAGTGTGAATTTCAGGGGTCTAATTGATTTTGAACACGAAGGTTTTAGCCATCACCCTCCACAGTGATCTTCACTTAATGCGTTTGTACGAAGCATCAAACATCAGGGTCCATCTCTGAGTCCTGTGAGGACCAATCAGCCCAACAATCGCTCACTTATCTGTCAGTCTCTCTTTACTCACACCTCCTCCTCCACGCACACACAGAAACACACACTGATAACAGTGATACAAGCTCACGAGCTGAACATAATTCCACCATTTGACATTGTTGTTGTTTCGGTTTCACTCAGATGCATCGCAGCTAATTACACTTTGCACACTTAAGCACACAAACGCGCGTGTGCGTTCATTTGTAAACGAGTTATTGTTTAATTATAACTTCACATGAACTTTGCTGATCAACGGGGCGAGTCGTGTCTCCCCTTCAGCGCATAATTATTCGGGCTATAATTGCTCGGCCTGTTTGTGAAACATGCTCATCCTTCAGCACGGCCATCGCACACATCCTGTGCCAGACCCGCGCTGTGAAGGCCCGGTGTAAGAACAGGAAGCTTTAGGTGGACAAATAAAGCTTTTATATCCGCTGTAAATGCATCATTGGCCACATAAAAAAAAAATTTAACAGTGCAATTACATTTGTATAATCACAGAATTATTTCCAAAAAAACCCCAAAAATTACGAGGGTCAATATTATTAGTCCCCTTTTTACTGAGCCATAGCACAAACCACTGCTGTGCAATGATGTACTTCACCTCTGTATTGCTCTAAGCAGTAAAAGCAATTTAAAACTGAGGGTTATCTTCCAATTTACACACAATATAAAAACTTCAGTGGAGAAAACATCATGCCAAATACAAAAGACATCTGTTTAGACTTGAGAAAAAGAATTGTGGATGCTCACAAAGCGGGAGATGGATATACAAAGTTATCAAAAAGCCGCCAAGTGTCAAGAACTGGACTGAGATGTATCATCAAGGAATTCAAAGAGAGCCACACAGTACAGAACAAGCCTGGCAGAAATAGGAAGCGAAAAAACTTCAAAGACTCTGTAAAGCAAACTAGTGAGAGATGTGTCTGAAGAACCCAGAACAACTGCCAAGACATGAATGAATTACTTAGCAAAGTCAGGACTGTTGACGTAAAGAAGACCATCACTAGAATTCTGCATATAAGTGGACTGTGACGTGGACAAGAGAAAGAAGATACATTCAAGCCAGACTGATGTACGCCAAGGACAACCTGGAGAAAGATTATGCTTAATGGAACTGTGTCCTTTGGTCAGATGAGACGAAACTAGAGCTCTCTGGACACAGACACGCTGATTATGTTTGGCGACAGAAGGAAAAGACATACAACTCAAAGAACATTGTTCACAGTGAAACATGGTGGTGGGAGTGTTATGCTGTAGGGATGCTTCAATACACCTGGAACTGGGAATCTCATCAAGGTGGAAGGGACCACGAAGAAGCATATGTGAAGATTTTGAAAAAGAAAACCTCATGCAGGCAGCAGCAAAACTGGTTCTCGATGGATGTCTTGACAATGAGCCAAGACATACATCGCTCCTGCAGAACTACCTCCAGAGGACCAAAGTAAACGTTACTGGCTGGCCTTGGATCTTTTACTTAGAGCTTGTTCCTCTGCTGCCACAATTAGTGCCTCTGTGCTGTCTTTTAGTCCAGCCACTGGTAGTATTTAGACATTTATATTATATTATATTATATTATAACCTATGCCCACAAACTGCATGTCTTTGGACGGTGGGAGGAAGCCGGAGTACCCGGAGGGACCCCAGGCAAACACGGGAAGAACATGCAGTTTGTGGGGATAGGTTAATTGGTTAATCCAAATTGCCCATAGGTGTGAATGTGGGAGTGAATATGAGCGCGGATGGTTGTCTGTTCCTGTGTGTTAGCCCTGCGACAGACTGGCGACCTGTCCAAGGTGTACCCCGCCTCTCGCCCTATGACAGCTGGGATAGGCTCCAGCGCTCCCCGTGACCCTGAAAAGGATCAGCGGAAGCGAATGGATGGATATTATATTATATTATTATTTTATTTAATAAAGACAGATACTCACACAGGAACAGTCTAAAATTAAAGTAAGTGGATTACAGTTGTAGTTCAAAACTGAAAATATTGAAAGAGTAAGACTAAACTGTCTACTCTCTAAATTCACACACACTTTGACTTCTTTCTCTGTTTATTGTGGGGAAAAAAAAAAAAAAAAAGCCGTGACTAAGGCCAGCATTTGCAGGCAAC